AAGGTAAGGAAACACCCCCCTCCCCCCCCCAAATTTGGGGGTCTCCCCCTGGTTTTGGGGGTCTCCCCTTATTTTGGGGGGTCTCCCTTTATTTTGGGGGTCTTCTCTGTGTTTTGGGGGGGTCTCCCCTTTTTGGGGGGGCTGGGACACGTTCAGGGGGGTATCCCCCTTTTTGGGGTCTCCCTTTATTTTGGGGGTCTTCCCTGTTTTTTGGGGGTTTCACCTTTTTTTTGGGGGGTGGGACACGTTCGGGGGGGCTCCCTGTTTTGAGAGTCTCCCTTTATTTTGGGGGTCTGCCCTTATTTGAGGAGGGGTCTCCATTAATTTTGGGGGGGGGTCTTCCCTTAATTTGGGGGTTCTCCCCATTTTTGGGGGTCTCTCCTGTTATTTTGGGGGTGTCTCCCCTTGTTTGGGGGGGTCTCCCTTTTTTGGGGGGTGGGAAACGCTCTTGGGGGGGGTAGAAAAGGGGGGAGGGGTGGGAAAATTTTTTGGGGGGTAAGGAGGGGCTGGGAGTGTCCCCTATAGGGGCTGTGCTGTATTTGGGTTGTTTCCTATAGGGACTGTGCTGTATTTGGGGTGTCTCCTATAGGAGCTGGAGGTGTCCCCTATAGGAGCTGGGGGTGTCCTGTATAGGGGCTGTGCTGTATTTGGGGTGTCCCCTGTAGGGCCTGGGGGTGTCCCCTATAGGGCCGGGCCCTCCCAGGTCTCTCCCCCTACAGATGCTGCCGCTGCTGCTCCTGGTGCTGAGCGCGGCCCCCGCCCGTGGCACCGTCCACACCAACCTCACCGAAGGTGGGTGACCCCCAAACCCCCCAGGGACCCCCCCGGAACCCCCCCAACCCTATGAGAACCCCCCAACCCTATGGGACCCACCCAAACCCTATGAGACCCACCCAACCCTATGGGGACCCCCCCAAATCTATGGGATCCCCAAATCTAGAGAATCCTCCAACTTTATGGAACTTCCCCAACCTTACGGGATCATCCCAACCCTCTGGGATCCCCCAGACTCTGGGACCCCTCAACCCTGTGGAACTTTCCAACCCTGTGGGACCCCCCCAACCCCATGGAACCCACCAACCCCACGGAACCCCCCAAACCTCGGTGACCCCCCCGACCCTACATTTGGGGTGCCAGGGTGCCAGATCATCCACCCGCCGCGGGACGGGGGGATCCGCTACCGGGGCCTGACCCCCGAGGAGGTGCAGAGCGTGCGGTTCCTGCCCTTCGACTACGAGATCGAGTACGTGTGCCGGCCCGACCGCGAGATCGTGGGGCCCAAGGTGCGCAAGTGCCAGCGCGACGGCACCTGGACGGCCATGGCACACCCCAGCCGCTGCCGTGAGTGTCCCCCGCGCCGCCATCAATGGCACCATCCCATCACTGCCACCATCCCATCACTGCCACCATCCAGTCACTGCCACCATCCCATCACTGCCACCATCCCATCGCTGCCACCATCCAGTCACTGCCACCATCCCATCACTGCCACCATCCAGTCACTGCCACCATCCCATCGCTGTCACCATCCCGTCCCAGTCCTGTCAGTGTCCCCGTCCTGTCACTGTCACCATCCCATCAACGTCCTCTCTGCCCATCATGAAAGCCTCACCTTGACCACCATTACCTTGACCATCCCCAAGACCTTGACCGCCATCACCATCCCCTTAATCACCATCACCTTGGCCACCATCCCCCAGACCTTGACCGACATCACCTTGACCATCGTCATGTTGCCCACAACCATCCCCTTGACCACCACCACCTTGACATCCATCACGTTACCCATGACCAACCCTTTGACCACCATCCCCTTGACCACCATCCCCTTGGCCACCATCCCCAAGACCTTGACCAACATCACCTTGACCATCATCGTGTTGCCCACAACCATCCCCTTGACCACCACCCCCTTGACCACCATTCCATTCCCCATGACCATCCCCTTGCCCACCCTCGTTGCCTGTCCCGCTGACCGGGGTGTCCCCGCGGTGCCGCAGTGCGGACGTGCCCCCGGATGCACCTGAGCCTGGAGAACGGGCGGGTGGTGCCGCGGGGGCTGGAGCGGGTGCCGGTGGAGGGCACGTGGGCCGAGTACAGCTGCGAGCCGGGGTTCCGCCTGGTGGGCAGCGCCCGCAGCAACTGCACCAAACTGGGCCGCTGGAGCCACCCCAAACCCGTCTGCGAGCGTGAGACAAAAAGGGGGGCTCAGGGGGCTTTGGGTGCCTCTGGAGGTCTCCAGGGTTGGGATTTGGGTTCCTGGGGGGTCCCAGGGGGGTCTCAGGGGGCTTGGGGGGGGGGGGCTTTGGGGTTGGGGTTTGGGTTCCTGGGGGGGGGTGTCCTTCGGTTTGGGGGGTCCCCAGGGTGGGATTTCAGCCCCCACGGGGGTTCCTGGGGTTTTGGGGAGGTCCCTGTGGGTGTTCCTGTGGTTTTGGGGTTCCCTGGGGTTGTGTGTGTGGGCTCCCTGTGATTTGGGGGGTCCCTGTGATTTGGGGGTTTTGCTGTGATTCTGGGGGGTCCCTGGGGTGTGTGTGGAGTCCCTGTGATTTTGGGGGGTCCCTTTGTGACTCACTTTATTCCCTCTCCCCCCCCCCCCAGTTCGTCGCTCCCCCTCAGGTGAGTCTGTCCCCTCCCCTCACCCTGAGCCCTCCCCTCTCACCCCCCCCGGGACTCCCCCAAACCCTGCCCTGGGGGGTGGAGACCCCCAGAGGCCCCCCCCCAACCCCCTTTGACACCCCCTGGGACACCCCAAACTCTGCCCTGGGGGGTGGAGTCCCCCAAAGACCCCCCCAAGCCCTCCCCTCTCGGTCCTCCTCCTCCTTCCATCCTTCCTCGCTCCCTTTCCCTCCTCCTCCTCTCTCCCCCATCCCTTCCTTCTCCTTCCCTCTCTCTCTCTCCCCTCTCCCTCCCTCCCCTCCTCCCTCGCTCCTCCCCCTCCCTCCTCTTTCTCCTCCCCTCTCCCCTCTCCCCCTCCCCCTCCTGGCTCCTCCCTCTCCCTCCCTCTCCCCTCCCCCTCCTATCCTTTCCTCCCCCATCCCTGTTTTTCCCTCTCTCCCGAATTCCCGATTCCGTCGTCCCCGCCGGATTTTCTCCGCCCCAAATCCCTCCGGCTTCTCCATCTTCCCTCTCCCCTCATCCCTCTCTTCTCCATCCCTCTCATCCCTCTCTTTTCCATCCCTCTCATCCCCCATTTCCCTTCTTTTTCCATCCCTCTTTTCCATCCCTCTCATTTCCCGACCCCGATCCCTTTTATTTCCCCTTCCTCATCCCGTTTTTTTCCACCTTCCCATCCCAGTTTTTTCCTCCTCTCTCCATCCCATTTTTTTCCCATCTCTATCCCTTTTATTTCCCCCTTCCCATCCCAGTTTTTATTCCCTTCCCATCCTGGTTTTTATTCCCTCCTCATCTTGGTTTTTTCCACTTCTCTCCCTTTTATTTCCTCTTCTCCCCATCCAATTATTTTCCACCTCAATCCTGTTATTGCCGCTCCTCTCACCCCCCAAACCCCCAAATCTCCACCCCCAAGCCCCAAATCAACCCCAAACCAACCCCAAACCCTCTCCCTCCCACCCCCCCATCCCAAAACCCCAAACCCTCCCTCCCACCCCCCAAACCAACCCCAAATCCCAAATCAACCCCAAATCAACCCCAAATCAACCCCAGGCCACCCTCAGACCCCCCAAAACCCCAATCCCAATCCCAACCCCTCGACCCCCAACCCCCAAATCCCAAACCCAACCCCAAGCCACCCCCAATCTCCAAACCACCCAAACCCCCAAACCCAACCCCAAATCCCAAATCGACCCCAAACCACTCCCAAACCCCCCAAACCACCCCCCGACTCCCAAACCACCCCCAACTCCCCAATTGCAAACCGACCCCAGACCCCGAACCCCCCCAACCCTCTCCCCTTTTCCCATGGCCCCCCC